ATTAGGAGTTTGGGTTTCCAGAAGTATGGGAGGGAGTCTGTAAAATAGATACTGAGATCTGGGTGAACTCTGCAAGGGCAATAGTAAGTAACTGTAGTGGCTTCGCCTCACAAGTACTTGTTCTTGGACTCAGTGTAAGTTACCGAAAAGCCTAGTCTGGAAATGTGTGAGATATAGAAAGATTAGAAGATATATACTACACCCTTCCTAGGGCAACCTGATAGTACAAGAACTTTACTGATTTATCTATAGAATTAGGATGCAAGTAGTTTAGCACATATTAATCTGGGTGGTCTTCAATAAAAGCAGTATGAAAAATAGATTTTTAAACTATAATATATAATACTTATACATATTGTAATATAACAATACAGAGTCTTAGTAAAGCTATACTACTTGATTTAATATATAAGAGGGTTAAAAAATGTGTTTGTAAACAAGAAAAAAATAAAATAAGAAAGAAAACTAAAAGAGACTTTAAAATAAAATAATAAACTAAAAATAAAGAAAAGAGATGATGGCTCTAATCCTAAAATACAATAAAATACTCAAGAAAAGGGAGAAGAGGTGATGGCTCAACTCAATATACTAAAAATAAATACTCAAAAAAGAAAGAAGAGGTGATGGCTAGGATCCCGAAATATATATAGATAGGTAAGATTAATTATAGTATTACTAAAAAAGAAAAGATCTGCAAGAAAACTTCAAAAATAAGTAAAAAAATTATTATAAATAGAAAAGATCTGTATAAAAAATCTCAAAAATAAGCAAACTCATACCTGACTAGGGTTAGAGACACAGAAAATTTTTTGGGCATGCCCAAGGGGCATGCCTTCAATTTTTTTGTTTTAAGAGCATGCTCTATAGGCATAGCTTTAAAATTTTTTGTATGTCAATTTTTTATATATAAATTTTTTAAAAAAAAAGCATGCCCCTAGGCATACCCAGGGGGACATACCTCTGAGGCATGCTCTGGGCTACTGTGCCTACAACCCTATACCTGACCTATCTATGTATATTTTGAGATCCTGATGGCTCAACTTTAAATACACAATAAAAACATAATAAAAGCTTTATAAAAAGAAAGTAGGCGATAACTACACTTTCAAGAAATTAAGTTGTAAATAACAAGAAATTAAAAGTAGAGAGAAGACAGTCTATTTATTAAAAATAATCTATAAATAATAAGAAACTAAAAGTGAGTAAGGAACAGTTTAATCATTAAGACATTAAAAGAGAAGAAAGAACAGTCTACTCTGCTTTGAAGAAAAAGGCAAAGTTTTTATATTTTTTGGACTATTAATAAATAACCCAGTTAATGACCTAGTTAACAACTTAGTTAACAATCTAGTTAATGACCCAGTTAATGACTCTTTTAACAACCCAGTTAATGACCCTTTTAACAACTCAGCTAACAACCCATTTAACAATCCAATTAACAATCCAGTTAACATACCAGTTAACGTATTTGCTAATGTACCAGTTAATGTACCTGTTAACATACCAGTTAACGTACCAGTTAACATACCTGTTAACAGTAGCCCGATTTGTCATGCAGATCATGTGTGTAAATTTTTTAATATGGAGTCAATTAATTGACGCATCTAAATTTCATTTATAAAATTTAGGCAAATTTTGCTTTCTAGTTCTCTAGCATTTGAAAATTCTTCTCATAAAATCTTAAGGCAATTGGGGATAATACAAAGAATAATCTAATCCACGAAGTTGGTCTATTTTTTTACGATTTTTACTATTTGCTTATAAGTGATGTATGTTGTTTATCCAAATTAGAAAATGATAAACATCAATGAAATTTGTGTAATTAAATATTTATCATTACCTATTTTGAGTAAACAATATATATTACTTATAAGCAAGTAGTTAAATTGTAAAAAAATTGGCCAACTTTGTGAATTAGATTATTCTTCACATTATTCTCAATTGCCTTAAGATTTTATAAGAAGAATCTTTAAATATTAGAGAATTTGTGAACTTATATTCAAAATTTAAACTGACAACTTCTTTATAATTAAACAAGCCTAGAAAGCAAAATTTGCCTAAATTTTATATATGAAATTTAGGTGTGTCAGTCAATTGACTCTATATTAAAAAATTTACACACATGATCTGCATGACAAATCGTGTGACTGATAATATTACAAATGTTATTACAATACTTTATGTTTTCTAATCTATATAAAATTAAAGGCTAAAGCTACTTTACTTTTGACCTAAGCTTTTGCTAAAATAGGTCGATGACTTCATTAGTCTATGTATGGGATATTGAGTGGGGAGGTGTTTGTTGTTATGAAATCATTGAGCCAGTAGTTATATTTAT